ACTGTTAAAAAAAAGAATGCTGATGGCGTATCAATTGGACATTGACTAATTATGACCTCATATATCTCCGTTATTTCTGGTTATTTAGGGTTGTCAAGAAACGTCTCGCTGTATTACCGTCATTGCTGTTACCATAATCCTGCTTGGGACGTTCTATATTCAGACCAAGTTTTTTCTCTGAATTGCATTTGAATGCGTTTTTTTGTTTATATTCAAACTGTAGTTACAATATTATTTCCTTAAATATCAATACAATGCAAATTTTATAAAAGTAATAATGTAATAGAAAACATGTTTTTTGTAACTTAGAAGAAAACAAACATAACTTTCCGATCATTTGTATGTCTTTTTTCATTTTGATTTCATTTTTAATCATTTAAAAAGTGAAACGATGAGCTTTTTTGATATCATAAATGAATTTTTAATCATTTAGAAAGTGAAATGATCAGCTTTTTTTTATATCATGTATGAATTTGACCTTTCATCGAGCGTACATCCTTCCTAGGACAATTTTCGATAAGATGAATAATCTAAATATAATTTTTATATAACATTTTTTATAAAATAAAATGGACGTAATTCAGTTCAGATGATGCAATATGTACGTAAATATTGTTTATGTAATATTAGTGAATAGTAATCATGTATTACGACAATTAATAAACTAAAATTTTATTGTTTATAATATTGAGTAAATTTATTTTAGTAAAAAAATTAAAAATGTTTTCCCTGGCATTTGCGTTGTAAAAGCAGTTCCCGTTCTCAAGACGGATCTCGTCCAGTCACATTCGGCGAAAAGTTAATGCTTTATAATCGGGCGAGTCGGGGCATGATGTTACAACTGGATTTGAAAGAGGATAGTTTCAGATAGTAAATGAAATCAAAAACATCGCGGAATTCTGCGAAATTGGTAACTTTCGGTTTACGTGAACTTACAAGTAATTAAAAATAATTTAACAAGTAATTCAAACTGTATTTCATTGTATTAAAATTTCATTTTATGCGTTTTAATAATTTATCCTACGTCGGTATCAAGCATTAATGCATCATAAATCGTGTATGAAAATACTCTACAAACCTTCTGGAAGAGAATCATCACTGCCAGCAATCTCTGCACAACTTTGTATGGACATCCCTTAGAAACAAAGACGGTCTCTGTGTGGCTCTCGGGCACTGCAAGTCTACCGAACCCCGCGAAGGGGAAGTTCCGGTGACTAGTGGCGCCAGGGCAATTGACCCAGAGGCACGAAGTGGACAGAAACAGATGTCCACAACTACAGAGAGTGTCGTACGAATAGTATGTGCAAAACGTCGGTAAACGAAATTTCATTTTTGACGTTTTGGCCAGGATTTCGGGAAAATGCACCACCGTGTGGCGGGGCGTACTTCTGCTAGTTATTTATAAACGAAGTCTTAGTTTGAGTTTACTATTTACACTCTTCACATCACTACTTGTTAACACGGCTGTGCATTCGCCCCAACGTAGAGGAGCGGAGCTCAGAGGGATGTCCGCTGAAGGGGTCCCCACGAGACTTTAACCTGTGAAAGGGTGATGCGGTCAGGAATTGTGATGCCCCAACGAGGAATGACTATGAATTTGAATATTTTGAGACTCGCTCATTCCACGATGCCCATGACATTACATTTACTATTTATTCTTCCCAATTATATTAGATAACATGTTTAATATGTTTTAAATTTGGAGCAGCAAGATGGTGTCTGAGGTAGGTACAAACTTCCCTTACAAACGTTACATCTTATAATATTTGGCAACTCAGAAAATTGTATATTTTATACTCAACTGCTAGCCATTACGGCAACTCATATTCAGGCTGTCATTTTATTTACTTAAATCAAATATTCTTAATGCACAATTAGAGTAATCCATAACTGCACGATGGCTTCTCTTTTATCTTTTATAATATTAATCTGTTCCCATTTGAAAGCATTGGTTGGCAATGTTATGTGACAAATACACGGTTTTGAGCGAAAAAGGTTTTTGAAGCTGATTTTTTTAAAATTTTGAAGCAATAATTTGTTACAAAAATTTTGAAAATCAAAAGTGTTCATTTAAATACGATTAATTGTATTGAAATTTCATTTCATTAAATGCTGATAAATAGTTAAAAAACTTGTTTACTTTGAACTTTGTTTTTGTAACACAATACCTCCATCCACCAATGCCTTTATTTATGTCATTATTTTAATTAATTTTTCAGTGGTCCTAAGTTGGCAGAATTGTATGAAGAGCTACAAACACTTGAGACCTGCCCACAGCTAGTGAAACATTTTGAGCATGCATTCAGCAGTTTGCTGCATGATGTCAAAAAGTTGCATGAAGATAATAAAAAAATGGAAGAAATGTTCATGAAGTATGTTTAACCTTATTTTTTTATTAACATAGATTTTTATTAATAACAATATATTTAGTTAATATTACAATATCATAAATTAAGAAATACTAACTAATAACAGGTACATTATTTCATGAGACTGAAAAGGTTAGAACTAGTCTATTTGTTAACACCATTTTTCCCGAGACCAATTTCTCTCGTGTCTTCAAGCATCTCTATTGCCACTCGTTTGATGCCTCTTTGCAGGGTATGGAATCTGAACCTGTTTATTTTCTACTGAATCCTTTGTTTTATCGTTTTGACTTTCATTTATCATCAAAACTTAGACAAATAATCCAACAAACATTTTGTTTTCATCTGTGTGAGAACGCTGTTGGTCGCTTTTCTACGCTGCGTGAATGAGAGCCTCGCAATCTACCTGCATTGGGGAATTTGCCCAACTTCTTTGGCCCTGGTGCAACCTTTTGTTTTAGATTGTATTCGTATGTACGCAACTTTCTTAGTCACAGTAAAAAGTCATTTTTGTGCAAGCTTAAAACAAATGTTCCGATATTTATAATATTGTTACTTGTTTACTTATTCAAAATTGTTTAATCCTGAGCTACAGGAGAAGCAATTATTATTTAAAAAGAAAGAAATATTAAATATTAGAATTATCTATATTGCTCTACCTGACAAAAAAGTGAAGTACGCAGAAGAAGTGGTTGGAAGTGAATGAAACTACATTTGCTGAAAAACCATGCGACTTTATTGAACTGATTACAATATAGGATGAAAGAGTCAAGGACGTTGGCAGTTACAGGTAGAATGTTGGCGCCACGTTAGTAGGGTGTCGAATCTCCTCTGGTTGCAATGCATTCCCTTCCGCGTTTCGGAACAGTGTCAAACAGCCTTTGAATTCTCTCTTGAGGCAAGTTCGTACACAATCGTAGATGTTCTTCCACATCCTGCAAATTGGTACTGCGACGGAGACCCCTTCCAATGTCATCCCACAAGTGTTCAATGATGGAGATGTCCTGGGATCTTGCTGGCCACCGGAGGACCACAACATGCTCTAGGTAGTCCGTAGATACACATGCTATATGTGGGCGTGTATTAACCTGTTGCAACACCGTCCCAGGGTGCTGTACCATAAGGGAGAGGACGTGCGAACGCAGAATACCTGTGACATATCGTTGTTCCATCAAAATCTGCCGAAGCACTATTGGAGGTGATTTGAATGCATATCCGGTGGCTCCCCATTCCATGATGCCTGAGGGTATGCCTGCGAGTCTCTCCACAATCTGGGCAGGTTGAGCCTTCTGCCCTTCACGTCGTCACACTCGAACACAATGGTCATCGGAGGTTATGGCGAAGCGGAGCACATCAATGAACGAGGTGCGACGCCATTCGTTCTCAGTCCATGGCTACCAGGCACGTCACCAATCCAAACGCCGACGTCGATATCCTGGTGTCAATGGCAACAGACGCATGACAGATGCGAGTCGTCGAGCCACTGTGCCACTACAGACTGTTGTCGAGTCGCCAGTACATGTTCGCTAATGGCGTGTGCCGACCTCATGGGATTTCGCACTACTTGGCGCACCATAGGACGGTCCGCTGTCGGGGAGTTGTTTTTGGTCGACCCGAGCCTGCACGAAGTGCGTGGGTGCCCATAGTGATTCCGACATTGAGCCACTGCGACATCTGAAAGGCCCACGTGCCTGACAATTGTACAATACGACTAACCAGCCTCATGTAGTCCGACAATGCGACCTGTCAAGTGCAGCCACTTGGTATACAGGTTGTCGAACGCGTCTGCGCGGCGTCGCAGGTGCTTCGTCGTTCTTCACTGTCTGACTCACAGCAGTTGGCGGAGAACAGCTGCAGAACAAGAGGGCGGTGACATCACGAATGCACTCTGGTGGGCGTTCTACACATAACAGATAAGTCTGAATCTAATAATTTACTCGCACATCAATGGTAAGCGTGTATGCCGAAATGGGATAGTATTGGACCTCTCCTTCAGGGTGCAACACTTTTTTGTCAGGCAGTGCATATATA